GAGAAGCAGGCTCCCAAGGAGCAGGGAGCCCGATGCGGGACTCGATCCCAGGACCCTGAGATCATGACCTGAGCCGAAGGCAGACGCCCAACCATCTGAGCCACCCAGGCGCCCGACAAATAAGCTCTTAATAATTAATTAAAGATGGGGGACCCCTGGGTGGCTCAATTGGTGAAACATCTGCCTTCGGCTCAGGTCATGATCCCAGGGTCCTGAGATTGAGCCCCACTTTGGGCTCCTTGCTCAGTGGGGAGCCTGCTTCTCTCTCTGGCTGCCCCTTCCCCTGCTGTGCTCGCTCTTGCTCTCCCTCTCTCTCTCTCTCTGACAAATAAAATCTTTTAAACAACAAAAATAATAAAGTAAATAAAGATGGCATTTATAATGGTATCATAATGAACCAAATGGTGACTCTAGTTATTAATAGTAAATTGAGGCAGAGGCTGTGGTTTCGTGGAAGAGGCCAGCAGGGCTGGGAGTTTGAGGGAGGCCACAGGGCCAAGGCCGGGTGTACAAGGCATGAGGGTTAGTGCCTTTGAGACCAGGACTCTGTGTCTCCTTACTCACCCAGGAGACACCCAGGAGGGCCAGGCTGAGCTTGCGTAATCCGCACTGCTCCTGGGGGCCGACAGAGGCGAGAGAAGAGAGCAGGGTGCGGCGGTGGGGGGACCACCCGAGCACCCTGGATTTGGGCAGGGCTGCCTCCTGGAGGAGGCTGGGGTGTCAAGGGCCGAGGCGGGAGTGAGCGGAAGAGCTGAGCCCCTCTGTGGGACTCTGGAGGAGAGAGCCTGGTGGCCTCCAGTGTGGGCCGTCTCCGGGGCCCCCGGGCCCAGCTAGGAGGGTCCAGTGGAGGGGGAGGCGGCCGGGCCGTGGGTTCCCTGCCGCGACCCGCCCTCACTCGTACCTCTTGTGTTTTGATAGAGAAGTGGGACGCCTTCATAAAGGAAACCGAGGACATCAACACGCTCCGGGAGTGCGTGCAGATCCTGTTTAACAGCAGATATGGTGAGTGGGCGGTGCGGCCCGCTGCGTGGCCTCGGCAGTGTGTTGAGCATCTCATTACGTGGCAATCACTCGTGTTCCCTAACATGACAGCAGGAGCCATATGCTGGCACCCATTCACCGGCCGCGCTCATGTCATCTCCTGTCTGGGTAGGGGGTGGTTCTGTCAATATTGCCCTTCCAGACTTTTCCAGGGGGCGGAACTGATGGCAGAGCCCCAACTCGACTCACCTGTGGGAGGCGGCGGGGTGGGCAGGGGGGACCCTGCAGGGAAGACCCGGGAGAGTGGCCGGCGGCCCCACGCGCTGCATGTTCCCCACAGACTGCGCCCAGAGCCCTGGCCTTGGTGCTGGGCCCTCTGCCCGATGTGCCCTTTGCGTGTTTGTGGAGTAGACTCCCACTTGTTCCTCGAGACTCAGGCTGGGCCAGGAGGGGTCCCCAGAGCCCTGATGGGCTCCTCTTTGCTGCACATCCTGCATTTGATGCGCCTTGTCTGTGTCTGTTCCCCGGGGTGGGGGGGCAGGACTGCGCCGGCCCCTCTGTGTGTCCCCGGCACCCAGGATCGCGCAGGGCCCAGAACGCATGTCAGCCCTCTCTGCACATGGGGGGTGGGGGGAGCGCTGGGGCAGGTGTGTCCTCCACGTGGTCCCGCTTCGTGCCGCGCCGCGTGGAAAGTGAAGCCACCGTTGGCTAGAAGGCAGGGGTGGGACCAGGTGGCCTGTAAGACCGTCCTGCTCTGGGTGCTCGGACACCGCTCGCCCGCACCCCGGCCGTGCGCTCCCACACCTGTCCCTCTCGTCTCCCTGGCAGGCCTTGCTCACTCGGCCTTTATGGGGCTCTCCCTGTAAGCTCCCAGCAGGCGATGGCCATGGTGTAGGCCTTGTCTGGGTGGGTGGCTCTCAGTACGGGGACATGACACACGTCCCCATGGATCCCCTGGTGTCACCCACCACCCCCCGAATGGTGCCACCCCGCTGTGGGGAAGTCCCTGTGCCCATGGGGCCAAGGGAGGGCAGGGACGGTCGCCACCCAGGCCCGCAGACAGAGAGGAGGGCAGGGACCCTAGGAGCTTCCTAAACACACAAGGTCCAGGAGGAGCACTGCACTGGGAGTCCACAGCCACTTGCCCCAGGCGACCAGGAGGAGTTGGCCGCCTCCCTCTCTAACCTTGGCCTTCTCACCTGAAGCAAAAGGGGCAGGGTGGGGCTTTACCCTCTTCTCTCTCCTCCTGTCTTTCTCTCCTCTCTCTCCGTCTTCCTCCCTCCCCTCCTGCCTCGCTAAAGGAAAACCCTCTCTCTAATACTTCTGACACCCGAAGAGGGGGTTTTCCACAGCAAGCAGTGCTCCCTCTGGGTGTCCTACAGTTCAATCCTGACACTGACCACTGGCAGCGACGCAGAGCCCGCAGGTTAAGGGCTCAGTCCCACAAGACGGCCCCGCAATTAGGGGTGGGGTCCCCAGGGCACCCGCACTTCTGTCCAACGTAGCTCCACATCCACCGTTCCCATGACCTCCCCTCAGGTTCGGACAGTCCGCTGTAAGGGCAGCTGGAACTCGGAAATGCTTTATCTGTCTTTACCTGTTTATTATAAAGGGTACAGATGAGCAGCAAGGTGACGAGGCACATAGAGTGAGGTCCAGAAGGGTCTCGAGAGCAGCAGCTTCTGTCCTGGTGGAGTTTGGGTGCACCCTCCTGGCACATGGATCCACCAACCCGGAAGCTCTCTGAAGCCCACATTTTGAGTTTTTACAGAGGTCCCATTAAGTAGGCAGGATTGATTAAAACATCGCCCGCTGGTGATTGGCTCAATCTCGGCCCCTCTCCCCTCCTGGGGGTGGGGTGGGGGGAGGATCGAAAGTGCCAACCCTCTGATCACGTAGTTGGTTGCCCTGGCAACCGGTCCCCATCCTGAGGGTGCTGGGGGCCTGCCCCTCGTTATCATAAACTCGGGTGGGTTGAAGGGTTTATTAGGAAAAATAGGACTCTGTCGTCAGCGCTGTCACTCAAGGAAATTACCAGGGGTTTGGGAACTCTCGAGCCAGGAACCAGAGCTGAGGACCACATGACTTCTTGGGTCACCTGTCACACTTGCCCCCTCCCTTCTTTTCTCTTCTCATGCATTTACTGGTTCGCTCACTTATCAGTCACGCATTTTCAGCTTCCCCCACCCAACCTTGTGCCAGGCGCTGAGGCCCACGCTGGTCTCAAGGTGCTTCGGCAGGTGCCTGAAGATGTGTCTCCAGGTGTTTTCAGCAGCGTGCAGCGGGACGAGACAGTGTACAGTAATACGCGGGGGTGGGGGCTCTCGGAAAGACAGGACAGCTCAGAAAAGGGTGAGGTCTCCACAGGCTTGAGGAATCAGGGGTGGCTTCATGGAGGAGGTGCCCTTTGATCCACACTGGGGCTTTGGCAGCCTGCGCCTTCTGGGGTGGGGTGGGGCTGAGCAGGGCTCTAGAGGCCTGGTGAGGAGTCTGGGATAGCCTGAGCACCTTTGATAACCTTTGCTGTGGTCTCTCTGGCCGACCCACTCCTCCCCTTCTCCCCTACAGGCAGGTGCGAGCTGGATGGGCAGTAGGGGGAGGGGATCTGGGGAGGGCTGGCTCCGACTGCCTTGGGAGCGTTCTGCCTCAGCCAAGTTGGCACGGCAGCCGCCAGGCTTCCTGCCTATTGTGTACTCTGGATGTTTCCAGAAAGCTGAGCCTTTTGTGGATGCCAGCACTTGGCCTCGCCGCATCCAAACCCAAGGAGGAGCACCGGGCTTGGAGTGCCTGAGGCCTTGCCCCTTCTCAGGCCAGAGCTCCGTCTGAGCTTCCCCTGCAGCTGCCCTGGGGAGAAGGAAGTTCCCCAGGAGGACTGGGGACGTCCCTGGGGGTGAGGACCTTGTGTGGCAGCCTGAGGCATCCCGCAGACCCCGGACGAACGGATCCTGCTCCTGGGTCTGCCCTTCCAGCCACCAGCTCTGGGTGAAGTGGGCCAGCAATGGGGCTGCGGGTGCAGCGGGGGAAAAAATAAAACGGAGAAGAAATGGGGGGGATCCTGGGAGATGGTTGAGTCTCTATGAGGGACGGAGGCTCCTGCCTGGTGGCTGCAGTCTCCCCCTCTCAGGGGCCAGAGGCTGGAGGCCAGGTGGGGTCACCTTCTGTCTGCCGGGTGTCCTCGCGGCTGAAGAGACAGGCCCAGCCAATGACATGAACCTGAGTGGAGACAAATGCACAGAGACTTGCCGAAGCCATCCTCACTGGCTGGGGCTTGGGGTGGGGGGTTGGGGAAAGAAATGGTTTGACAGCTGTTGAGATTTCGAGGGTTTAATTTGACAACGAGCTAAGTGTGGCTTCACAGTAGGATCTGGCTGCCAAAGCCGCCGACGCAGACCTGGCTGCATCAACAGAAAAACAGTTCTTGACGGCGCGCCAGGGAGGGCCCCAGGCAGTCCTGCCGCGTCCCGGCCAGGGTGTGGCCGCAGGGGAGGCCAGCTAAGGGCTGGCACCTGTTGGGACACAGGCAAAGCCCCGGCAGAGGAACAGGGCCAGGATGGGGAGGGGCCTGAGGAAGGGCCTGGGGACGCGGGACCCTTGGGGAAGTTTGGAGGGACGAGGCAGGAGGGAAGTGGACCACCAGCCCTGCTCAGGTCTCCTGAGACCTCCCAGGCCCTGGGAGAACTGGGGACCCAAGAAAGTACCATCCAGCACATAGTAGGTGCTCAAGAAGTACTTGGTACCTGAATGAGTGGGAACTTGGAGGTGCGATGGAAGTGAATAGTTAAGGTGGCCCAAGACCGAACCCAAGGGTCTGGAAGGAAGAAAGGAACAAGTCACCATTTCCTAAGCCCGGATTCTGTCTACATTGCTGTTGGCAAAGTTGTCTGTGTCTCGTTTCTGTCCTTGATGAGTGAGAAGAATGTCAGCTGCCTCCCTGGAGGAAAGAGCACATCTGGGGGGCTGGAGGAGTCCTGCCGAGAAGCTTCCTTCAGCCATTCATTCGCTCATAGAGTGCAGGGAGCAGCTAGCCTATGTCCCATCCTGTCTAGATCCCAGCCGTGGAGCAGTGACCACCCCCTGCTCCCTTGGAGCTGACGTTCCAGACAGTGAACCAGCGTACAGACGAATATGTTTATAGTGTCAGGTCACAGTAAACGGGGGATGGAAAACAGAGCAGGGTGTGTCATGGGGAGATGGAGGGGGCTGTTGGCTGATGAGGTGACATTGGAGGGGACACTTGAATGGGGAAAGGGAGGAAGGGAAGTGAATGGTGATCTGGGAGAAGAGCCAGTAGGCAGAAGAGCATGTGCAAAGGCCCTGGGGCAGGTGTTGTGTCTGGCCTGTTAGGGAAGCAACAAGGAGGCTGGAAAGACAGCAGTGAAAGCAGGGACATCAGGTCAGAGGTGATGGGGTCCCGGTCACGTGGGGCCTCGTAAGCCCAGGTAGGACTTTGGCTGTCGCTGAGGGGGATGGGAACCCATAGGCAGTTTTCAAGAGGAAGCGCCATGTGCAGGGGAGGGGGGCGGGGGAAGGTCATGGTGACGGCGGCCCTGGGGCCCCCGCATGTCCCGCCGCTTCCGTCCCATGCTCAGCCTTGCCGTTGCCCTTCCAGCGGAAGCCCTGGGCCTGGACCACATGGTCCCCGTCCCCTACAGGAAGATTGCCTGCGACCCAGAGGCTGTGGAGATTGTGGGTATCCCAGACAAGATCCCCTTCAAGCGCCCCTGCACCTACGGGGTCCCCAAGCTGAAGCGGATCCTGGAGGAGCGACACAGCATCCACTTCATCATTAAGAGGTACAGGGTGGGGTGCGGGGCCCGGGCTCGGGGTGCCGGGGTGTCCGGGCTGGGCAGGGGACCACAGCAGGCATGAAGGGGGGTGATGATGGTGCAGGGCTGGAATGAATGGGTTCAGACTCGGCCAAGAGAACAGGCAGGCCTGGGAGAGGGGTCAGGCTCCTTAACCACGCAGCTGTGCAGGCCCCCCCTTCCTGGCCTCTTCTGAGGCCTGAACGGGAAATGGAGGCACCATGCCTGGCCCGTGCGGGCCCTCCGTCAGGTCTTAGTAAGAGGCGTTTTCCTCCCCCTAAAGAAGACCTGAGGCCTTTGAACTTACCTGCCATTAGAGGGGAGCTCAGGTGGGGCTGCCTGGCCTCTCCCCTTCACACCCCACATCTGGCTACCCTACCTGCTGGTGGCTGGACCGCCCTCCCTGTCCTCCCAGGCAGCCGGCTTCCCTGGCCCAGGTGTGGGTGGGTGGGAGAAGGCAGAACACGATGCACTCCATATCAGCAGCCCCCCAGGGTTGGTGGGGGGGAGGAGGGGGGCTGCTACTGCCCATCCCCTAGCCTCGGCTCCCGACTCCAGTGGGGACTTTGCCCTCACAGCTGGTTGGACTCACCACCCAGTAAGCATCAGGGTCTGCAGGCAATGCTCAGACTTCCCGGGATGCTTCCTCCTAAATGGTTAGAGATGGAGGGATGGCCAGAGGCTGTGGCGTCCAGCCCCCTGCCTCCAGGCAACACCGTGCTGGCCACTCCCCAGGCATCTGTCCGGGAGCTCTGTGAGGGTGCGCTCCCAGTGTGTGCGTCTGCTCACGTGCGAGCTTGTTAGACTAAAGGCAGGGACTGAGGGCAAGGACTGTGTTGGGCTCATCGCTGAACCCCCAGCGCCTAGAACGTAGTAGTAATAGACACCCAGTGTGTATGTGTGGAATGAATGACTGAATAGATACTTGCCCCGGGGTGCAAGGAGGCTGGGCGTGGGCAGGGGCCTGGGATCCACTCTGAGAGCACAGAGCTGTTCTTGAGTGGTGGGAAGGACCTCTGCAGGGTTGCTGGAGGCCAGAGCAGGGCTGCGGAGGTTGGGAGGTGGGCAGCAAGCCCTGGAGGTGGGGAGACTCGGGAGGAGGCCTGGCATGGGCCAGGCTGGCCTGCTGGGCGGAGGGAGAGAGGCGGCTGCATTTGGGGTGGATTCTGAGCTTGGCCGGGTTTGCCAGTGGCTGGGATGTGGGGGTGTGGAGGGGAGCACGGAGGCCAGGATCACCCCATGTGTCTGAGTGTATGATTGGGGGAAGCAGGGGTGGGGTGGGGAGTTCACGTGGGGTATGCTAACTTGGGGGTGCTCAGGAGATGGAATTTTTGGAGACCACATTGAAAAGTCAGAAGCTCCAGAGAGAGATCTGTGTCAGAGATTAAAAAAAAAAAAACCTGAGAGTTGTCAGCACGGGCCAGGGAGGGCTCTCCAGGGAGGATACAGAGGTGAGAAAGGGGGTCCCCACTGAGAGGAGGAGGAGACTCACCTGCTCCCTTGTGGCAGTGGGACCGCATCTGCCCTCACAACCCTGACTGGGGGCGTCCCACTTGACAAATCATTCTGGAGGTGAATTGAAATCAATCGTCAGGCAGTGCCTCCTGTTGTCTAGCTTAAATCTCTCTTGCTGCTGCCTAAGTCTGTTAGGCAGACGGGGGGCTAGGTAAGAAGAAAGCTGCAGGGACACCCCAGTGTCCCCGTGTGTGCCTGACCATGGGATTTGGGTCCTCACCGTGGCTGACCTTGATCTCCCTCAGTCTAAACCGTAGCTTATTTAAATCTTCCCTGGTATTTGCTGCGTGCCTCGCACAGGCCCAGCCCTTCACTGAGCTCTACTGGGAACTTCACAGACTGCAGGCAGGCGTCCCCACCTGTCCCCAGAGGCCACTACCAGTCATGGGGGGGGAGGGGCTCACTCCTGTGATGAGTCCAGGGTATCAGAGGACAACGGATTTCTAGATGTCGAGTCAGTGTCATCTGAGCGCCAAGCCTGCGGGGCTTCCTGGAGGAGGTGGCTTTGGCATCAGGCAGATTGGGCCTAAAGTCACTCGCAGCATAACCTTGAATAGCGCCTCTCTTCTGAGCCTATTCCCTCATTTGTAAAAATAAGGACACTGATGCATTCACACACCCCCAATTTTTCTCAGCATAAAATGAGGAGGCAGACATAACACACCTGACACATAGTAGATGCTCAATAAACACCGTCCTTTTCCTTGACCTCCCCTCTCCCTCGTGTATAAAGGAGTGGTGAAGTGCGTCAGTGCTGATAGCCTGAGTTTGAGCCCTGGCCCTGCCTTTCGCAGCTGTGTGTCCTTGGGCGAGTTACTTAACTGCTCTGTGCCTCACTTTCGCCCTCTGTAAAATGGGGCTAGTGGTTGTCCATGCCTCACACCGCGGATGGGAGACGAGAGGACTGGATGTGAGCAGCACGCACAGAACAGCGGCTACTCCGTTCAGAGTCCTCCGGACATTTGCCACTGGTGTCCAGCCCAGCCTGGTCAGCGGAGCATTCGAGATTGTCCTGGCAGAAATGAGTCGGGAGAAAGGGCTTAGGAGCAGCCAGCGGGTGGAGTCTCTGCCGCGGCCCAAGTGTCTGCGGGGTGGGGGGAGGTTAAGGGGAGAAGCCACTTGGTGAGGCCTACGGGTCTTGTTATCGGTGGTAGGCGGGCTCCCCGGCCTCCAAAACCCCAGTTCCCACCAGGACACCAGCCCCCCAGCGAGAGGATCCAAGTTTCCACCTGTGGGGCAGACACGTAGGTTCCACCTGAGGCAGGACTTAGGGGGGAAAGAGTGTCTGGAGGGGATCCTAGAAGTCTGGGATGTGTTCAGAAGATGGACAGCAAGCCCGGTCAGCGCCCGTCAAGCGGGCCTCCCAGGCCAGGCAGCCCGTGAGGGCATCTGTCACAGGCCCGGAGCCACATCCGACCTCCCTGTCATCTGCCTGCCAGTCCCACCCAGGAAACCAGGCAGGCCCCATGCTGTCTCGAGCCCCTGCCCCTCGGGCTTGCTGATAAATAGGTAACATTGTTGGTGATAAAACCAGAGTCGAGGCTGGCAGCTTCCCCGTCCCCAGGTGGGGCTGAGGAAGCAGGTCTCAGAAAGTCGGTTTTCCCCAGAGTCGCTCCTGTGACTGCTTCTCAGCCTCGTGGGCCCCAGATAAACATGGGCCCCCAGATAAACATGGGCCCCCAGGAGCAGCGGGGGAGCCAAACTCTGCCTCCCACACTTGAGCCTCTGTTTGAATTTTCCGCTGGGCCCGCCTTGGGCATCATTTGGTCCTTGGGTCCAGGCTGGTCTGGGGGGGCCCGCAGAGCCTGTATGCCAGCTACTGGCAGCTCCCCAACCCTCTGGGTACCACCAAGGTGGGGTGGGAGGGCTGGGGTGGAACAGAAAGAACACCAGGCCCCCCCCAGAGGTGGAGGGGTGGGTGACCCCAGCTTCCTCGCGGACCTTCCCTCTGCCCTCCTGTTCCTGGCCCAGACTTCCAGGCTGAGCAGGGTGATGCCGGGGTCCCAAATGGCCGCAGGCCCCCAGCCACTCCTCCTCCAGTCCGTGGTCTGCGTGGAGGCCTGTCCGTGAGCCTGGGGGGCCCCCGGGCCTGCATTGCCCTCACGCCGGTCTCTCCTCTCTCCCCAGGATGTTTGATGAGCGAATCTTCACAGGTATGTGTGGGGACCAGCTAGTCCATCCTGAAGCTGCCGAGTAAGTGCTGCTATCGCACGGGGCCCCGGGCCGGGGAGGGAGCCTGGGTGCGGCGTCCCCCTCCGGGGTAGACGCAGCCCCCAGCTCCCAGGTGCAGACAGCCCCTCGGGAATAGTAAAGCTAACGTGCGCTGAACGCCAGCGGGTGTCAGGTGCTCTTCTAAGCTGTTGGCATATTCAGTTTTACTTTAATTTCACATTGAACATTGGCATGAAGTGGGTTGTGCTCTTTTCCCTGAAGCCCAGCTGGTCGGCAGTGAGGTCTGGCCGCAAACCTAGGGCGCAGGGGTACCAACCAGTGGGCAGCACGCCTCCCAGGAGGGAGAGTCGGGCTCTGCCTGGTGCAGCAAAGGGAGCACAGATCTTGGGGTGCGACAGAGCTGGGTCCTGGTTCCGGCCCTCCTTCCCACCAGCTTTGTGACCTTGGCCAGGATCCTATGGGCCTCAGTTTCCACATCTGTGAAATGGGGGCGGGTAATAAGAAGGATCTTCCTCTGAGTTCTTGAGATAATTATACGAGAGAATGGTTTTGTAGTCCGGCCTTGGGGGCCACTTGGCCTCTTTCCCAAGGGCGCCCTCAGCGTTAATAGTGAACGCGAGGCCAGGACAGTTATTTCTGGCTGCTCCTTCCTCCTGCAATCCTCCCAGATCCCTGGCGTCCTCTGGCACCGGGGGGCCTACGTTCCTTCTCTACCCAAGACCCGTTCTGGCTTGGCAGAGCCCAGACCATATGCAAGGGGTGCCGCCAAGAACCTCGCACAGGTCACTGCCCAGGTGCCCCACAGTCAGGCGGGAGGCTAGAGGGCCTTGGCCCTGACCTGCCCCCACCTCTCCGCCCAGGGAACAAGTTTACCAAAGACCCCACGAAGCTGGAGCCAGCCAGCCCGCCAGAGGATACTTCTACAGAGATCTCCCGTGCGTCTGTCCTCGACCTGCCCGGGACTGCTCGGTAAGGCCCCACGGCCAGCTCCTGGCCCACTGCCTCCCCGACTCTGGTCTGGCGGTATTACCTGCGGGTGGGGGGAGGGGAGCAAGGCCTGGGGCTGGCCAGAGGATGCCGTGCCCAGTGGCTCCTGACACCCACACACACACACACCCTTGTGTCCTCACCCCGCTGTGGGCCAGGGAGAATCCGAAGGGACAGAGGAGAACAGAGACTCTGCCGATTTTTTTCCACCTGGAGAGCTCTTGTGCCTGCTCAGGATCCAGCCAGAGGTTGCCTGGTCTCTCGGAAGCCTTCCCAGGCACCCAGACTAGGTCAGGCATTTGTCCTGCGTGTATACAAGGCCCTGCCCTCAGCTCATGGCCTGGTCACCACCGTCCACCAGTGCCCCCCACCTAGGCTCTGGGCCCCTGGCGGCCAGGGATGGCTCGTTCATTCCAGAACCACCATGTCCAGTCCAGGCCTCCCCCACAGTGCTCTGTGAATTCACTGAATCATCCATCCAGGGGCCCTGCCCACTTTTGCTTCCCAGACCTCTATACCCTCTCCAGGCTGGTAGTCCCTCAGCTCTCAATCCCCCCAGCAAGCCCTGATGGAACCTCACTGTACTAAGTTGTGGGGCTCCCATACTGGCCCGAGCCAGGCCTCGGGAGCTCCCAACTGGTGGGGAAGGTGGACGCTCAGACCGTTCACCTCAGGGTAGGGAGCAGCATCTTGGCTAGGGTGGCCGGTGATTGCTGTCTTGGGGGACCCTGCACTGGGCCTCTCTCCCGTAGGGAGGACTGCCCTGTGGGGATGGGAGTGAATGTGGTCGGGGGTGTGGAGTTGGCAGGCACCGTGGGCTTCTGCCTGAGGGGAGAGCTAGGGCTGATGCCGTGTCCTTTCTTGGCCTCCTTCCTTCCCACAGGTCAGACAAGAATGGTGTCTCTGAAGACTGTGGGCCAGGTGAGGAGGAGCAGGACCCCGCTGTGTGTGTCCTGGGGTGAGAGGGTGTCCACCAGCATCCCCCTGTCTCCCCTCCCAGCAGCCTTGGGGAGGAGGGAGGCAAGCTCAGCCCATGAGCCTGGAATACTAATGAGCTACCCTGCCCATCCCTGCCCCCCACCCCCCAGGCCTCAGAGCATGCTGGGAGCTCACTGGGAGGCTGGAGGGGCTGGTGGGATGTGGGTGGCATTATGGGGAGTCGGGAGACCTGGCTTCCGGCATCACCACTGTTTCCCAGTGTGTCCGTGGCAAGTGACTTCCCTCTGTGGGCCTCCGTAACCAGGCCTATAAATTGGAGATACCAGGACGGGACTCAGGGCCTGCATGGTGACCCTCCACTCTTGGGCTGGGCAGGAGCTTGAGGCCGGCATGACTGTTCCCAGGGCATTACTAACTAGGCACAGACGTAAGAATGTTCTAGAATGGTTTGCTTTGTCCAGCAAAGCTCAGGCCCACACCTAACTAGATCCCTCATTCCCTCCTCGCAGGAACTTCTGGGGAGCTGAGTGGGCTGAGGCCCATTAAAATTGAGCCAGAGGATCTAGATATTATTCAGGTCACCGTCCCAGGTAAGGGACAGGTGTCTGAAGGGCTGCCCTGCTGCCCCACATGAACCTCCAGGAATCAAGCAGCTCACACTCCTGGACTGGCCAGAAGCACCGTGTCCCCTCCTGGGCTATCCCCTCTGTCTCCTGAGGGCCAAGAAGGGGTCTCCAGGCCATTGTTTCTCTAGTTTTGGTTCCATATACCCCTCCAATGGGGTATATGGCATGCACTTTCTGCAGCCGGGTCTCCCCTCTACGCTGGCAAGCCCGTCTCTCGGCTCCGGTCTTCCTAAAGATGCCCCCCCCACCCAGGCCTTCCCGCTCAGGCCTGGCTCCCCTGGGATTTATAAGGCAGGAGGGAGGAGAAGAAAAGGTATGGGGATAGGAGGGTCTGAGTTTGACTCCAGACTTAGAAGCCCCTGAGCCTCTGTCTCCACATCTGTGAAAAAGAGGGTGTATGTGGTCTCTGGAGGCTCAATGTGGGGTTCCCCCGCCTCAGGCCCCCGCCTGGCCTCTAGCACAATTGGTCACTAAAGCTGTCCTCCCAGAGTTCCAGGGCATGGCTTCCTTTAAGGGTCCTGCTCTGCGGGCATGTGGGGCTGGGGGTCCTGGAGGGACCGTGACAGTGTGGGACAAGCAGAAGATGCTCTTGTCCTTTTGTCTCCAGACCCTTCACCCACCTCTGAGGAGATGACAGACTCAATGCCTGGGCATCTGCCCTCAGAAGATTCTGGTTACGGGATGGAGATGCTGACTGGTAAGAAATGGGCTGGGAACCCACCTCCCTGGGGCGTAACGGGGAGAAGGATGGGCCAGGAAGCCCCCCAGAGGAAACCCAGTGTGTGCCTGACTCCTTGTGCGGGGTAGGTTCCTCTCTGGACACCTGAAGTCGGCCTTGGTTTATATTAAGTCTGGCTTCTACATCTTTCCCACGAGTCCCCGTGTGAATTAACTTGTTCATTTGTTCAACAACTATTTACTGAGCACCTACTATGTACCAGGAGGTCCTGTGCGAGGTGCTGGGGACAGAGCAGTGTACCAAACACACCAAGGTGCCTGTGTTCCCAGTGCAGCGAGACAGAGAGTAAGCAAATCACTAGGTAAAATAGAAAGTTAGAGGGTGGTAAGTGCACTGGGGGGGGGCACAAAGCCAGAAGGGGGAGGTGTGAGGGGCAGGGGTGCAGTGGTTATTACAGGACTTGGGTGGTCAGGGAGGACCTCACTGAGAAAGTGACTTTGGAGCAAAGACCTTAAGGAGGGGGGAGCCATTGGGTGTCAGGAAAGAGCTTTCCAGGTGGCGGGAATAGCATGTGCCAAGGCCCTGAGATGGGTTATGCCTAGCATGTCCAAGGAGAAGCAAGGCGGCCTGGGTGTCTGGCGCAGAGTGAGGTGGGGAGGTAGGTGATGGTGTGGGTTGTGCAGGGCACATATGTCAAAGGAAAGAGTGGACGCTTTGACTCTGAGGAGACAGAAACCTCCTCATGGGGGGTGGTTGGAGCTAACGAGGGACATTCTAACAGTGTTTACTCTGACCATGGGGTTGAGGATAAACTGCAGGGGAATGAGGACAAAGACAGAAACAGACTATTGTAAATCCTAGCCAAGAGGACTGGTCCAGCAGGTAGATAGCAGCAAGGGGGTGGGGGGTGGAGGGATGGGGCTCCATAGGTTTTGTGTTTTTACCTTCATTTTGGAAATGTTCAAAAACACGCAAAATTGAAAACAGTAGTTTAATGAATCTCGTGCACCCACCTCCCATCTCCAACCATTATCAACAGATGTTCTGTATTTATTATAGATAATGAAAGCAAGAATTACTATAGGTAAAGTTTTTTATTTTTTTTTTTAAAGATTATTTATTTGAGGGGTGCCTGGGTGGCTCAGTCATGAAGCGTCTGCCTTTGGCTCAGGTCATGATCTGAGGAACCTAGGATCGAGCCCCACGTTGGGAAGCCTGCTTCTCCCTCTCCCACTTCCCCCTGCTTGTGTTCCCTCTCTCTTTCTCTGTCAAATAAATAAATAAAATCTTTAAAAAAAAAAGATTATTTGAGGGCGCCTGGGCGGCTCAGTTGGTTAAGCGACTGCCTTCGACTCAGGTCATGATCCTGGAGTCCCTGGATCGAGTCCCGCATCGGGCTCCCTGCTCGGC